AAAAAAAAAAAAAGATGTCTAAATACTCTGGTAGTTTCCCCAAAAGTATATATGCCAAAGCTGAAATGCATAGCAAACTGAGATCAGTGGCATAATTTCAGCTGATACTAATACCTCTGGACTTCATAAGTTAGGTATAAATCTGTATCTAGCCTAGTTGACCCAAACTAGACTCAAAGCTTTTCACTATTGTTTTATCAGCTTAACTAGAAGTAGTTTGGTAGTTTGGATTATGAATGTTGTGTAAACCCAGCCATTATAGCTTGAAAATCATAGTTTATAGATTTGTATGTTTATGAACCCATCTATTTGTAGTTTATATAATAAACCATGGGATAAGAAACCCAACAAATCTATTTGGGGATATTTCTTCAGTGATGTGAAACACAAGATGTTGGTTTTAATGATCAATTTGACCTGCCATTTAAATATGGGTTGATGTCCAATGTATAGATGACTCTCACTTCTAATGTACATTTTGGGAGCTCAGATGGTAACTGATGATTTGAGAGCTGTTGCCCATACAATATTTCTGTTTATACATTATTCTTCAGGTAACACACAGCAGTTTACCCATGGTTCCTGTGAAGTCTAGGTAACCCAGCCTTTCTCTTTCCTCAACCCCTATACTGTCTTGATGAAGATTGCCAACAGAGTTATCTTATTGAAGGACTGTAGGTTAAAAAAAAAAAAATCCAAGCAAATCATTTGTCATGTGACAAAAACAATCTGAGGAAATCCTAGTGCAAGAAGTAGTAATTAATTAAATATCTGGCTGCTTTCAGGGTCATACTCTCTTCAATACTGCAGGTGAAGTGAACAGTTTTACCCTGATCGAAGTGGAATAAATACAGACTTCTCAAATATAGCTATAGCTGTATGTAACCACCCAGTCACTGGGAGTCAGGCAGCATATACATTTAATTGATTGATTGATGTATGGTATGTATGTTTGTATGTATACAGACACTTCATTCTGGTCAATCTTATCTCACCAAGCATGGCTTTTAATCCCATAATGGAGAGGCAGTTGCTAAATCAACAGTTGATTAGAGTAGTAAATCTATTTCAGGCTTGTATTATTTTGATGTCTGGATAACAGAAATACCGCATTTTTCCTATTATTCCTTTTAGTTTGTTATATAGAGTAACTAACTGCCATACACTAGATAAACTGGTATTGTGTTGCCCTTGTTTCTATGTATTACTGGCCCTGGATTTTCTTTAATATTCTTATAACATTTAATGGTCTATAAATGATATTCAGTTAAGATCTTGACATAAACACAATGAACCTTTTTTTAATTTATACTATATGTCTGTCCATGTTTTGAATGATACCAGTCATATTGTTATGACAGTTGTCAATCTTATGCCGAGTGTACTTCACATAATTTAGTAAGGTCTGTCTATACTAAGCTTTTTCTAACTATCCTCAGTTTTAAAAATGCATGTATTGTAGGAACATAGTACATCAATCAGCTGCTGCAATCCATGATGTTCTGAGAAAATGGTATCAACAAATCTCTATTCCTAGTCAACAAACTTCCCTGTTAACAACTGATCCATCAATATGGACATCCATCAGTATAAACTGTTAAATTAATGTTTTTCTTGTTTATTAATTGCAATAAATACATGTATTGCTAAATCTTTGGGGCCTGTTGCACTGGCATGATTTGCATGTCATGCTCTGAAACAATATGGCTATTTTCACTGACACCTACTGCCACACACCTGCAGAGTTTCCTCTGTATTTTTTGTCGAAACTCTTTAGATCCAAAATAATAAAGAAATGGGTTAAAGCAGCAATGGAAGCTGGCCGTTGCAAGTGACAGTTTGTATTCCACATAAAATGATTTCTTTTGGAAAACAAGGATATAATGGGTCACTGACATGACAATGTGAGGGAGGTAACAAACCGTAATCAGAAGCAGCAACACTATGATGAAGTAGATAGTCTGCCTCTTGGTCTCTCTGAACTGAGAGGAAGATGAATGTCGAAGTGTTAATATGATTGAGATGTAGCAAAATCCCATGATGATCAAGGGTAGGAAGAAGAACAGAAATAGCAAGGATCCAAAATAAGCAATAAATTCTGTTCGGGTGTTAAACATTTCTTTTGGCAAAACATCAAAGCAGGTGGTGATAGGAAGCTGCTGTATACGAACGGTGAGCTTATGCTGCATCAGGGGGAAGAGTGTCAGTAGAACCAGGGCCCAAGTGCTGATGCACACCAGGAAAGAGGCCCTGATTGTTCTTCCCGCTTTGTAGCGCAAAGGGTGGACAATGCCTACATACCGCTCTATGCTAAGGCTCATCATAGTTAAAATGGAGCAATGTAGGTTCCCGTATGACAGAATGGTGACCACATGACACAAGACATCTCCAAAAGGCCAATTGTTTTTCTTTAGATGGTAGGCAATTTGAAAGGGGAGGATGAAGCCATAGAGCAAGTCTGAGATGGTTAAATTAATGCAAAATATGATGGTGGAAGTCCAGGGCCTTGAATACCAACAAAGGAACAACAAGGAGATTAAATTGAGAGGAATGCTGATACTGCAGTTGAGCATGAAAAGGGCTGGCAAAATCCTCTGGATCGCATCACTCTGAAGGGCGGCCAGTGTGATATTGGTCACGTTTCTGGGACTGTTTACAAGTGGCATCTCTAGTAGACTTTTTGATGTGATGGCAACGAAAATGTCCTGAACTATCCTTCTTCTGAAAATTAGAAGAGGCTCAGTTCTAGATTTAAGAAGGAGAAATACAGGTTGGTGAAATAATCCTTCACTGCAACATAAACATTGTGTTTCTTCTTCAACTATTAATTGATTTGTCAAAAGTTCAGTTAAAAACTTAAAGCTCACCATGGTTATAATGGAGCAGTGTAGGTTCCCATGTGACAGAACCGTGACAACACAACACAAGACATCTTCAGGAGGTCCATTATTTTACTTTAGATGGTAGGCTGAAAGGGGAGGGAAAGGGAAGCCATTTATAAAATATTTTATTTAAGAACCATATAAATATTTACACTTGCTACAGTGACCCATGCCCTTGTCTACATTGATGCAATGCTCTCTACATGGGGCTGCCTTTAAAGACCATTCAGAAGCTGTAGTTAATTCAAAGTGCAGTGGCCCATGCATTAGCTGGTATTTGCCTCTGGGAACACATCACACCAATGTTGCAGCCCTGCATTGGCTGCCAATAGGCTCTGGATACAATTTAAAGTTCTGGTGCTAATCTATGAAGGCCTACATATTTGGCACCCATGAAACATGGAAGGACTACGTTTTTTCTATTGGAATCAGCCCAGTCAGTTCAATCTAACTGGGAAAATCTGCTAGTGGTTCTCACTTTGGGTGGTGGTGGTGGTCAAGGTTTGTAGACATTTCTTTTCAGTGGCAACACCTTCCAGTATATATTAGATTAGTTCTCCACAAGCAACTCAAAATGGAGCTTTTCCAGAAGGTGTTTGGGCTGTGATTTTACAGATGAGTTTGTTTTATATAATTTGTTTTTGATCTTTTTATTTAAGTGGACTGCAAATGCTTCATTTCCATATTTTTATTGTCTGTGGTTTATTGTGTCCTTTATCTCTGTGAACTGCCAAGGACCTTTGGGTTTGCGGAAGTCTATAAATGTTATAAATAAATAAACATTTATAATGGCAGCTTAACAAAGGTGGACCATACTACTAATGAAAAGAGTAATGTGGACACTTCATGCAACTAGGCCAGAGTTGCCCCAACATGAAATTTAGAAATATTGCAATATAACAGATTAACATTATGTCCTATTAGATATTGGGAGGACCACACTTTGCTTTTGACTTGTATGCTGACAATTGAACTTCAAAAAGCAATGTAGGCCAGGGGAAGCAGATAGGCAGGGATAGGACAACATCTGCATTTGATTTGATTTTAAATTACATTAAATTAAAATGTCAAGCAGTTTACTCCTTATGTATGTCATACTTTTTCTCTGTTGTTTTAGAAATTTGGAGAAGGATTGTGGAAGGTAGGACTATCTCCAAGTCTTGGGAGGCCATATGTAACCTGAAGCCTCAGGGTGTGCCCCTGAGCATTAGAAGCTTACTTTGAGTCTAGCTGTGATGGGACATTCAATACCAGGTCATAATCCAAAAATTTAAAAGAAGGTTAGCTATGAGATAGACAGACAGACAGACAGGTAGATACTGTAGATAGAATATTGAAAGGGTATGGTAAAAAATGTCAAGAGGGCAATTGCAATGGTGTGATTAACACACGATGCACACAAAAAACAGGTGGCGCTTCCATTGTACTGTTATGGGCATCATCTTGATTTTTTTATTATACCCTGAAGGCACTGTTGATATATAGGTAGAAAGAAAGAGGAGTGCTGGTTCAAGGATATATAGCACCCCAAATATCTGACTGATGGTTCGACCTCTTTCTGATGCAAAGATTTGCATTTTTAGAGTGATTTCGAAGGAGCGGTGCATTGGTGTCTCCTAAGCTTTGGTACCCTAGGCCAGTGCCTACTTGGTCTTAGCCTAAAGCCAGCCCTGAGACAGAGATATAGAAGACAGTTAAGGAGATATGTTATATATTCTAGCATTTGAATGATCTTTACCAAAATACGGTATCCATTTTTTTCCTGATTTTTCTTTCCAGAATATAATTGTACTTCTTAAACTGCTGAAGTAATTCATGGATTGCTTAGGGAACTTTGGCTATTGGTGTTCTGGAAATGAAATAAAATAGAGAGCTTATTATATGGTATGAAAAATCAGTAGATGTAGGAAGAAGTATAATAGCTATTGTAGCAGCCTGAAGTTGTAGAAGGAGGATGGGAGATGCTAAAACACAGCTTCCCAGAAGGTTGAAACAGGCAGATAGTGTGGCAGAAGCTAATATAAAATAGGGATAAATGGTTCCATTGCAGCAATGCTAAGATCTGGGCTATATCACTACAGAGAAATATGCATCCAGATGAACTATTGCCTCTACATAAGTTTTAGGTGCTCGTTGATGTAGTTTATGGGTTCCCATATGTTCTGAACTACAGCTCCCCTATTTCCTGCCTATGCTATCTGTGACTCATGGCAGTAGTAGCCCAGAACATTTGGAGAACACCAGAGGTTTTCTAATTTCATCCCAGATTACATTCTAGTTTTCAAAAGGATTTCTAAGACCCTTCAATAAAAATGGAAATATACTTTTAAAAAATAGGAAGATTGAAATCTTTTTGTAAGAATGTCTATATGGAAAAGGATGAAGATAGAGTTGGTAGGGCCTCATGTGGGGATGATTCATACTGTTAAATACTGAAAAGAGAATTCACATGAGACTGCAGATGCTTCACTCTTATTCCTCTTTTGATCTGCTTGCTTGCCCCCTGTATCCAAAATTAGAAACTGGATGACTGCAACAAACAAGGGAAGAGAGTTAGTGATGACTTACCCTTAATCTAGGAATGAGTAATCTGTAGCACTTCAGGTTTTGCTTAATCACAACTCCCCATCTTTTGTCAGCATTGCCAATGGTGAAAAATCCTAAGCATTGTGGTTCACCAATGTTTGAAGAGCTGCAGGTTCCTATCCTCTACCAGCCCCTAAGCAAAGAAGGTCTGTTCAACCTTCATGTATAGAGAAACCATGACTGTACTCATCTGTTATATCTTAGCTTTTGCTCTTCTGAACACACTATCTGACGTGGTGAGCGTATTTCAAGGTTTGCTGCACAGCATGGAAGAAAACAGGAGGCCTTTCTGAGAACCATGAAAAAATATTTAGAGGTAATGCTTCTTCATATCAAGGGTGCAGAGTGACACCCTTCAGTCTACTCAATAGTATATGGGCAATGACTTAGGCCAGGAAAGTATGTGGCTCAAGTGTTATGGTGGCAATGGCTTGTGTAACTAAAGATATAAGCACAATCTCCCAATGAATCAGTGTCTCTGTGTGTTCCCACCTTCCTATCATAAGATGGGAAATCCATAAAAATGGTACAGTAATCCTCCAAATAGGCTTATATACATACCTTGTTATATCTTTTGTGGGTGATGCAAAGCACAGAAAAAAGCGTAAGTAGTATTAAGCAAAGAGACAAAATAAGCAAATCTAATTACATCTAGTTTATACCATCCCTACCTTTCTACCTTACTTCTTTTTGAGAACCTCATAAACTGCATCCAACCATTTCTTGCTCAATATTCCCCTCCTTTCAATTCATTCACATTTTCTTCAGATATTTGTTTTGCAATTCACTTGTCATTCATTCTCTGTAAACCACCTCATGTAATGTAACTTTTTAAAAAATAAAATAAGGCTTAACCTAATTTAAGCTAATTAAAAACAAACAAACAAACCAAAGCATCAAATCCTGGTTCTATCCATATGTGCAACATGGCTCCACAAACTTTGCTTCATTGCTGCAAATGTGTGGTTTAAGAATGGTCCTGACAAATACTGCCCATTCTTGTTCTGAACGGAATGACTATTCTAAAATCCAGTCCCCCTTTTCTCTATCAAGTAGAGTTGTACAGTATATCTTCTTTTCCATAAATAATTCTGAAGTGGGTTGAATTATTACTTTTATGTATGTATTTTATAGGGTTTCCAGATTAAAAATCTGGCGATACCCCTTTGATAGTTAATATTTAATCCCATTATTCCTACATTGAAATTCCAAGCATGTTATTAAATAAGGAACTTGCATTATGGGGGCTTATTTACAGCCTATCTAATAGGACAGATAGAATATAGTGTGGAAACAAGGGAAGTGGGGCACACTGCTTGTATGGCTTGTTGTTTTTTTTCTGCCACATATTTGCTGAGTTCAGTGTGATTGTGACATGCTTTGGAAATATTAAGAAATCACTCGATTTTCCTGTTATTGTTTCATGCAAAAAAAACAGGAACTAAGTTGTTGTGGTATACATGGCATTGGGACATCTTCTTTCTTCACACTTTCATTAAGAATGGAAGAGTATTCCATGCCTCCATAGGTAAACTGTACCTTTGCTTGTCCTTGAGGGATTCAAAAGCTCTCAGAGAGAACGCTGAACTAATTTAGCACACGCACTCACTTCCTGTTATGGAGCATTTCTTTGCACATTTTCTTTTCAGTGTTGCTTCATAAATATACAGGGTATACCAAAAGTCAGGCCCAATAGACAAAGTCAGGCTCCAAAGTCAGACAAGTAATTAGATAATTACTTTAAATTTTCAAATTGATTGCCATATTCTTGTAGACACTTGCTTACTCATTTGATGCACGGCCTAAATCCCTAAAAACAGTAACATTTTCTCGAAAAAAATAATAAAACATATGATTGGCCTATGGGGCCTGACCGACCCCTCCCTCCCTCCCTCCCTCCCTCCCTCTTTCTTTCCAAACATTGATTGTGCTGAATCAGTCAGCACATCCAAGAATGTTTGAAAGTAACTCCTGATACACAATTATACAAGTGGAGAGCTCTCTGGCTCCAAATGGTTGGATGCCTTATTGAAACTGAAGCACAAGGAGAAGAACGCTCTGTTCAGAGAGATGCATGCATAAATGTTACAAAAAATAAAAGTGTATTATCATAAATGACTCTTAATAAAACTTCCGTATTCACTATTGCATGAAGAACCTGATCAAACCTCAGATGATCAGTAGCTTAGATTACTGAGACAATCAACAGGAAGACTGAAGCAGATACTTCAGGTGATACTTGAAGCCTCAATTTTTTTATCCTGCCTTTCTGCCAAAAAGACTCCTTTAGGTGCTCTGAGCTAACAAAGAATGTATTGTGCAACCTAGCAAAGCAAATTATGAAACAAACCTAAACAAACAGACCAAAAGAGACTCAGCAGCAGAAAGTACCTGAGCTTAAT